TTCTCGCCTTTGAGAGCTTCCCATTCGTATATTGCGACTAGATTCTTCTTGTGGCCGCTTTCTTGGGGCGCCGAAAGGAGCAGATGGCGGGTGGGGAGAAACAGCGCTTTGTTATTTACAACGCGTAAGCAAAGCGGCAGCCACTCAAATGGCCTGCGGGCAAGTATTAAAGTCCTTGATTTTGGCTAAAATCGCTTATTTCCCTTGTTTTTCGACATCTTTTCTTTGCTGCCCAACTAAGGGATTCTTCGAGTTGATCATCCCAAATTTTAGGGCCCGTGTTCAGAAATATGGCAGAAAAACCTGTTACGAGATTTCCACTTTGCCTACTTCCAAGAACAGCCGTCTGCACATTATTCTTTTCGGTCGACAACCTTTATGTAGTGTCGGGTAATTTACAAGGCGAGTCAATAAAATTTAATCAGGAATCGGGCATTACATCGAATTTCACCGCGACGTTGAGGAATCCCTCAGGCTGCCAGCCCACATTTGTCGTCAAAACCTGCTCAAAATATTTGAGGATGGGCAAGAGATTATTCAGATTACTGTGCTAAAAGGTAAATCACGTTAATTTAGCCATCATTTATATACTTCCAAATAATTTTTAGGACCAAAGCTACTGGTGGTCTCGCGGTGCTTAAAATATGTGGTGCTTGACAAGCTCGAGGCGTTGATCGCTGATTTGGGCAGGTAAGTTCACTACTACTCGCGCTCCTTATTTAAAAAAATAATTTTCTACAGCGAATTTTTTTTGCTGATTTTTAGCGAGCGAGCCATGATACCACACACTAAAGTCATTGAATGGGTGCCGAACTTGTCACGATGCCATGATTTGCCCCTAAATGCCAAATTTGTGGTTAATGGAGATGAGTTGAATGTAAATTTTAATTTTCCTGAAATTTGGCAAAAGCCGCTTTCACCTTTAAAACTACAGGAATTTTACTTTCAGCTATGCGGCCCCACGTCCTATATTCTCAGCAATTTTCAAAGTAAGAAACCGAAGGTTGACGACTTCACCCTCTTACCTTACGAACCGTAAGTTAAACGCACACAGTATATATTTTTGCAGAGCTTCTCCTCAAAAAATCATTTTAGGGGCGATACACGTGTTAATATTGCCTGCGTCTACAGTCACGGATGTGCCTTCCACATCCAAGGCTCCAACACCATCACCTATTATTCATGGGCAGGAGCGAAGAAGACGGAATTCCCGTGGCAGCCGGTTTAACAAATAAGTAAATTTGACGAAGCATTTTAGACAAAGCCTGGTTCGATCGAGGGCTGGGATATGATACTTTTCGAGGATCAACTGCTGATGGCTACAAATGATAAATTGGTCTATTTTAATGTCAAGAATGGAAGGGTGGGTTTCAGAATTGAGTTTTTAAAAACCAACAGCAAAATGCGCTGCGGTCGGTGCAAAATTTACCTTGGCACTTACACATGGCCTTATCAGGGGGAAAATGAGCGAGACGCATAACGCTATGTAATTCTCGCACGTTCTGTCCAGTAGCGAAGGGTTCTGTATCGTTAGTGGGGTGACATTATTGTCGAGAGCTTTTCTAGCCTAGATCTCATTATTTTGAGATGTGATTCAAACGCATAGTATGCTGTTTGCATGGCTTGTAGGAAATCGCGAAATTTCGAAAGTATCGAAAACTAGGTGTCACTACTGTCGAAAATTGGCTCAGAAGTTTCCAATTTTAAGGGATATTCTTGATTTTCCTATAACTATTGGAGAATACAATATGTTCAGCTATTAAAACTCCTCAGATAACGTTAATGCTCTATCGGATACCTCCTAGCGGACGCGAAAGATAGCAAAATCTTCAAAAATATCGGATCCCCGGTGCCCGAACCAGAACCCAGCGAAAAGGGCGCGAGACTTATAAGTCAATAGGATAGATTTCCCAATCTCACATGGCCCTTCAAAACGCACGAGCCATGTGAGGCGTTTCAGAGGCACGAGGTCAAAATCTACGATGATGAAGGCGAGGACCGAGTGCCGAACCGTCACCTAACCTATTCCGGCGGTCAACACCTGGTTAATGGTGTTTATACGCCGGTCGCACTGTACTTCGTTAGCGTTAATGGTAGTTTAGAACGGCTTCCCTTCAAACCCATTGCTATTTCAGACGTCCTCCTGCAGTACGTCGTCGAGTCGGATAAGCTGGTGTTTGCGCGTATGCTGAGCCCGGGTGTGGGGCGGATCCACTCGTGCGACTGTCGTGTGAATTATTGCAAGGTAATTTTTCAAGATAACTCGAAGCCAAGTTATTTTAGCCGATTGGCGGTACGTACGGCGGACTGGCGGCGGTGATGCCGACCCAACAAGTGCCGAGAAAATGGCTTGAGTATGAGGTGGTGAATCCGAAAAAATCGTTGTTTGATCAGGTAAGCGCTCCGGTATTCGGTTGAAAAGATCAGAAAGCTAAGCGCTTTTGCTTTTCAAAATACCAGATTCTAGGAGCCCAGACCGGACGACGAGCGGCCTGGCCCGTATACTAGGTAGGTCTTATCACCTTACATCTGACGAGCAAAAGCCAGGAAGCATTTTTTCAGCAGACCATGATCACGCATTAAGATTTTCCGGAATCAAGTTACGATGTGCTTGAACGCAATTCCCCGAAATTTAAACTTTAAAAGCTTTTGGAAAGGCGATGGAATAAGATTTTACAATTTTAAAAAATAGTTCCAATTCAGGAAAATGTGCTCTTTTAAACGAGCTAACTCACGAACAGCCTACTCGAGTTGCGGCAAAACGAATTAATTTATTGTCATCTTGAAAAATTCGAGAAGGCTGTTCGTGGTCTAGCTAATTTGAAAAAGCACGTTTTTAAGCTAGATCCACTATTGAAATTTTGCAAAATAAGATTCCATGGCTTTCCAAGGGGCGTCGCCGGCGTCATCGGTCCCGACCCTATCACTGTTTTTAGTTACGCCGAAGGCATGGATGCATTCTTCACGAAAGACTCCAAGCATCCGCATCCTCAAATCGAGCGCTTGATGCATTATAACCCGAGACAGGGCAGCTACTTGTTCGAAGTTCGCGGACATGTCGTCATGGGCGCTACGGATGCTGGTGCGCTTTATAATCCTAACTTGATCCTGTCTTCTCAAGACCTTAATGATACAACGTTACAGAAAAGAAGTTACAACTTATCAAACACCCATCGACACCGATAGAACCCGGACTAAATTATAGCCTCCCGACAGTATTGTTTTTCGACAAAAAACAAATCGCGTAGGTTTTTAAGTTCTTTTAGTTTAGTGAATTTTCAATTTCACTTGTATTTTGTAATTTTGTAATTTGTTTTATGCCTGTAACGTACTTCATTTCTTAGCAAAGAGGCCCTCGACGAAAACCCCTGCATGTTAGCGTGGGGCGTCAAGGATGGAAACTTTGTCATTAAGGTAAAAATTAATTGGCTGCTGATAGAAAAATAGGTTTTAGTTCCTGGATCAGCGCGGCCGTAAGCTGGGAATCAAGGATCCCGACAATGTCGATTATATTGTCGATGAAGCATGGGGGAGGAGATCCAAAGACATCAAGTCAATTTGTCTGGTCGCAGAAAAGTCGCAGCACTTGATCATTGCGTGGAGGTACTTGTTCAGTCTGAACTTGAACGCAGCTGGTTTTAAGGTTCTTGGTTTGCCGGTTTGTGGAGCATTCTCCCCAACCCATCAAAGTCAAAGATATCCCTTCAATGCCAATTTCAGCCAAGGATTCTTGCACGCGACGCCGTGTGAAGATCGCGGCCTTATCTTCGAAGATACTGTACAGGTCATTGGCAAAAATGAATTCCATCGGTTAGTTCAAAAGATCATGGAAAAACAAATACCATATTTCCTCTAATATACCCCCCACCCCCAATTTTTTTGAAGTTGCCTCTAAGATGTAAAAAATGCCAAAAATGTTTTTGTTTGAGCTTCGTTCTGCGTTGCTGATAGAGTTATGAGCGGGTGACGGCCATTTCGCCTAAATCCGTTTCGCCTAAACCCGTTTCGCCTAAACCCGTTTCGCCTAAACCCGTTTCGCCTAAAACCCGTTTCGCCTAAATCCCGTTTCGCCTAAAACCCGTTTCGCCTAAAACCCGGTTCGCCTAAAACCCGTTTCGCCTAAATCCCGTTTCGCCTAAAACCCGTTTCGCCTAAAACCCGTTTCGCCTAAAACCCGTTTCGCCTAAAACCCCTTTCGGCTAAAACCCCTTTGGGGTGAACTCTAAGGTTAGTCGGCAAAAACGACTTGCTTGGATGTAAGGAAAACATAGGACGGTTTATTCATTCAATGATTAAAACAGAGTCTTGTAAATAATTTCGATAAGGGCTCGCGGGTTATTGTCGTCGTAAGCCTCACACATCGCGCGCTGTTCGTCAAAATCCCGGCTGATTTTGCGCTTCGGCATGTAGGCGATCTCATTCGCTTCGCGAATTTTGACCGCAACCTTCTTATGCAACGCATGCAGCCGCTCCAGAAAACGCCAAATGAGCCAAAAACGTCTTTTAGGCGAAACGTCTTTTAGGCGAAACGGGTTTTAGGCGAAACGGGTTTTAGGCTAAACGGGATTTAGGCGAAACGGGTTTTAGGCGAAACGGGTTTAGGCGAAACGGGTTTAGGCGAAACGGGATTTAGGCGAAACGGGTTTTAGGCGAAACGGGATTTAGGCGAAACGGGTTTTAGGCAAAACGGGTTTAGGCGAAACGGGTTTAGGCGAAACGGATTTAGGCGAAGTGACCGGAATTCGTTATGAGCAGTTTGAACTCCCAGAAACCGTTGTAATTGCTCAAAATCACGAAAATATATCGCTCCTCTAATACAACCCCCTCCCCTGGGGAGATTGAACAAATATAACCCCTCGGGTTATATTAGAGGAAATACCGTATTAAGTTAATGAGATAAGGACGGCATAAGTGGTGCGAGCCAAAGCGAGAGATAGAGAGTTAATGAGAGGGCGTGCGTTATTAAAAGAGAGAGAGAGAGACAGAGAGAGAGAGAGAGAGAGAGAGAGAGAGAGCGAGAGAGAGAGGGAGAGAGAGTGAAAGAGAGAGGGCCTCTTATCCAAAGGACTCCAGCCCAGGCGCTGTCTTATCGTTGCGTAATCGTTTGCTGTTTGACAAAAAGCCCAAACTACCTAGACCGTCCTTGGCCCTTTAAACAAATCGAAAACTCAGCTTACTTTTGTTTCACAGCCGATCAACGTTTTCAGCCATTCCAAGGTCGTCGATTTGGCCTACAAGCCGATGGAGCAGGTGTTGATGCTGCTACTCGGGAATGCAACCCTAGTCACCTACAAATGTTTGGTTCGGAACGGTATCCCCAATGCCTATTTTCACCGCAATTTTTTTGAGGAAATCTCGAGGTAATCCCAATGCGCTGGCAGAAAATCGAGCAAATGTTCCGGGCAGAAGCTTTCGTTTCATGGCAGCTGCTTGGAGGCGATGTCGTGGGTTTTCGGGCCTGTCGTCGCATGCTTTTTAGGTATTCGGCTGGGGACGAGGCTTAAACCCATTTTCTCGATCGGTAAGGAGTACAAAAAGTAGGGTATCTAGACGGTTTAGGCGATCTCGATCGTCCTTTATGACTTGGTGCATCAACGGGTGCTCTTCACTTCGGTCAAGGATTATCAGAAGACTTTCGATGCAGGGCGGCGATTTTTTGGGCTGTATGATTTATTTTTGCAATTCCATTATTCTCTGATATCCAATTTGACTATGCGATTTTAAGAACAGTCGGTATGCACGAGATTCAATGTGTCGTGCTCACCCATTTCGGAGCTAACGACCAGATCACAGTAAGCCACCGCAATTTGCCGAAGTTTCTTCGTTTTCTTCCAAATAGGCAACATTTTGCGAAGTGATGCATGACTCGCCGCCATTTCAAAGATCCATGGTTGAGCACCAAGTCCGGAAAATGGTCTCATCACACGTAGAAAAATGCGGTCTTACGGTGGTGGGTGGAACTACCGCTATGCATCAATGGCATTCCGCTTATTTAGATTGCCGCAATTGGAAGCCAGGCCACAATTCTGGTATACGATCCTACTACAGGTACGGACTGTTATTCGTAAGAATGTAATTTTCTGAAACTCCTGAAACGGGTCTTGCGCCTGATCGGGGGCGGGGGGGGGCGGGGGCGGGAAGGTTGTTGTGACGAGGCTTTTGTTTGTCTAAAATTGTTATATTTTAAAATTCCCAACCAATTTTCAATTTTCAAATTTTCAATTTCTAACCTTTTTTTCCTTTCCGAAACGTAAGCAATTTAGAAGGTTTATTTTGAAAATACAGAAAATATCGATTTATCGACCATAACGACAATTTCGGCCTTTCCTGGCCGAAATTTTTAGCATTTTTTGGACCCATGCTTCCGATTAAGTTATTAGGGATCTCTAGGTTGATACGAAACATTTCGCCCCCCCCCCCCTACCGGTAATACGAAACAACCTCAGAAACTATCGTCAACGCCAATCATCACACGTGGGCTCCTGAATATTACGATGTTGCCCTGTTCCCGGTACCCATAAAATATAACAACAAACACTCTTTAAGGCCGAATTAAAAACGTTCAAAGGAAGGCCGGCCATTCTAATAACAATGGTGCTGCTGTCGAGCGAGGGCTTTGAACGCTTGGAGCTGCTTGTTCGCGGTGGCAAAACCAAAATAGGAAGCGGCCCTAAAGCAAAAGGTTGGGCGAAATCTCGAAATTGTCATATCATCTTTAGTGCTTTATCTACCGCGAGTTATGATCAAGCAAAGAGTTTGCCACCAAACCCTGCTGATTTCCGACAATCTGCAAAATATGCAAATTTGTGCTGGGCCGTTGGAGGTTGGCTAAAACGTTATTTCCTGATTTTCTTTTTTTTTAACTTTAATCAAACCTTAGAAGGTTAACTAAAAAACCACCTTTTAGCCAGAAAGCGGCTCCCTGCAACTGTTTTTCTGCGAAAAGCGCCTCGAGGGCGTGGAAACCGTGTTTTATGCCGGGTATGGACTTGAAAACAGAACATCAGTGATTCTGGTCCACAAAGCTGCAAATGTTGTTTGTTTTAAGCATCATCGCATTCGGAGTGGGCAAGAAAACGCAGCAGGCAACGATTACCGGCTCGCGCAAGACGAAATCACCCGGCAATCATATTGCATCGAGAACACAGGTCATTGTTGAAAACAGTCAAAATACAAAAACTCTAGCGTTTTCTCGATATATTCTTCAAATTAGCATATCGAAACACTTCCTCTCTTGTATCCCGTGTTCATAGTCAGACTAATGCCCTTACACTTCCATTTACAGATCTATTTCCACGGTGGACTGATGCGCGGAGTCGGAATTATTCAAGACCATAGGGACCCGGCGAACGGAAAGCTCAGCGAGGTACACACTTATCGCTGGCAATTTGCTAAGGAAAATTCGTTCAGAAAGTTGCGTATTGGCGGTTATCAGGCGACGAGCTTCCGTTCGAATTCGAAGAAAATGGCTGGGTGGATGGAAGATATAGCTTTGGGGCTACTCAAGTGACCGTCAGTTTATCAAGGGAAAAGGCCATAATTTTTGATTCTAGGTCTATGATGAGAAAAGGGAGTTCGATATCTCGAAGGTAAACCATTTTGCGCAACTTCCGGTTGGCCCGGCTTCTGGAAAAGGTGAAGATAGAGTTAGTAGCGTCTAATCTGAATTCAGGAAACCTACACATATTGTATCGACGCCCGAATGAGTATTGTTGGATACCAATGCAACATGAGATTGCCGCGACCGGCGATTTTATGGAACGGTCATACCAGTCATTCAAGACAAAACACCGCTCCGACAAACGGCCCATACGAATACACAAGAAATTTGGGGTCGACAAAGTGGTGCAGCTATTCGAGTAGGTGTTGTGCAATTTTGAGCCTTACTAGACGATTCATTACTTCAATCTGAGTAGATTGGCTGCTCCGAAAAATTGTCTTTAGACTAATCTAACATTTTTAGGAACAACGCCCTAGCCTATGGGCCGGATGCTCTACATGTTATGCGTCTATGTTCTTGCATAAAATCGCAAGATAAGAAATGAGTCATTGGACGTCAGAATTCCTGCGATTCTCGATGTGTTGTTTGTATATTCAGGTATCTTGCACTGTCTTGCTTGCCATTTATTCACTTAAATAATACGATGAGTAAGATAAAGTTGTACAAAAAACGGACCGATAGAAAACAGCAAAAAAGAATTATTGATTACGGTGCTTTCGACTCGATGCAAAGGCGTCTAAGACCGCGTTCGGTACCGGGAAGACACGATCACTCTGGCAGTTGCATAGCCGGATGATGTGGACCCCGTCTTTGGAATAGACCATCCCGTGGTCGCTAAAAAAAGGCTAAAGTGTTCAAAAGTACCTACTCAAAAATATGCGTGATTTGATGCATCCCGAGACTGTCGTGGAGCTGCGTCAGCCCACGGACCGCGTGGTAGTTCTGAAATGAATCTTGCACATCCGGGGATGATAGGTGCCAAATTTCAATGAGCACAACCCTGACTTTTTGCTTTGTCTTCTGGTCACGAATCGCTACAAAACAATATTCGTCCTTGCGGCGCACGAGCAGATGGCCGATACCTAAATCCTACTATATATAAAAAAATAGTGTCTGTGTGTGTGTGTGTGTGCCACTTTGCATCCACTTCCGTCTGTCTGTCCGGAGGATATCTCAAGAAGGGACGGGTATTAGGCTACGTATGATACGTCATGAGGTGCGTAATGGTCTAGGGATGACTGCACACATATCAGATTTTGAAAAATTAGCCATTTTCGCTACTAAATTTAGGTTTTTGTAAAAAGCTCTTTGTTAGGGATAATTAGCATAGACCGGAAGTGGGTGGTCGCCTATATAAAGAGGCAGAAAGGGTAGTTTTCATTTTTTTTGTCTCCTGAATGGAGGACAATCATGCAAAGGGCAGAATAGTATGGGATCCGAGACGGGGCCAGGGTTGAAAAGTCGCGAAGCGGCTTTTCAACCCTGGTTCTTTCTAAATTTGTGTTTTTTTTGCCAGCGGCTTACCGAGCTCACAGAGTTCCAGGCTTCGAGGCATGATGAAACCCAGGCTTACCGTCACGTCGAAATGCGTGTCCTTATCGATTAGCTGAAAAGAGACTTTGGCGCGATTTTTTTTTGGCTTACCGAAACTGTCTTCGTGCCCAGATTTAGATGAGTGATTGCTTCTTTGGCCTAAAACGTCATAAATATTTGAAGCACCGACAAACCGGTTGAAAGTCAAATCCAGCTTTATGAGTTTTCCACGTGGCTCGTTTCTAAAAGGATTTATAGGGGCCGGCAAGGGTTGAAAACAGATGCTTGATCGCGCGCGGGATTTCCTTCAACAAAGAGCCGCAGTGAAAACTCCTCGGTCCCATCGTCCAGCATTGATCGTTCGGGATTTAGCTGTGAAGACATGGCTGAATTTTCCGATAGCGCTTACTTGCAGTTTGTTCTCTGTCCAATCACCGGCTAAACACGCTCTTCCGCTAGATTGCTCATCGGCCAAAAATTTGCCGCTGTGGTAAATTAATCCACTAAATATTTGTATGCTTCCGGAAATTTTGCCTACATAATGTAAAAAACAGTATGATTGTTGATTAAGCAACGGCCGACGCAAAACAGCGCCACTACACCTTCGATGTTACTTTTCTGAGTTATAAAATTGAACTCAAAAGGCGTTGATGCTCACTGAGGAAATAGAGCAAATTTGCCAAGTGGATAGATCCTCGGCAATAAACAACTTGGTGAAGATGAGCCGATGAGGTATGATAACTTCCGGAAGAAGACGAGCTATAGAACCGCATGCAGGGCGGAACGTTGGACTTACCAGGTTGTCCTTTTACTTTGAATTCCGTTCCTTTCACAACCAGCTCAAGCACTTCAATCCCTTCGCATGATAATAAGAATAATGTGGTTCCCAAGAACCTTCGACCATTCGAGACGCATTCCCGGGTCGAAAAGGAGGGTTTGTTTTGGGCGCCCATTACTTACGTAGGCGAACGTCCCATCGTAATATTCACGCGCCCAACTGTGTTCGTTCACTTTTATTAAAATTTCTAAAAGCTGAGTGTTTTAAAAAAAGACCCTAAGAACCTTTCCCAGGCTCGTAAACCAGAATAGAGACCTGGCTGCCGATCGCGGCAACCTAAATTTTCCGATCCTAATCATTTGGAAAACCTTACCAGCGATAATTGATAAACCTCAAGGCAACTCGATATCATCTTTTTCACACTGTGCTGAAATAGAGGCCGTTGAAGCTTGGTAGTTTCCACGATAATATTTTCGACCATGAAGCCCTAAAGGCAACATAATACCCAACACTAATGCTTACCGCAATCTCATCGTGGTCCCCAAGGTGGCACCGAAGAAATGTTTGCCCATATTGCATGCCAATATTTCTAAAAAATATATATAAATTGAAAGATAAATCTTGCATAGCAAAAAAGCGTTTGGCCCCTTCGATAAGTAGACTATAGTCCTTCACTGATGTACAGATAAGTGCTTCGGCATAATAATCATAGAGGACGATCGAATATGCCTTAAAGGCAGTCGGCGGAGAAAATTCCCAACCCCGCCCTCCCCCCCACCCACCCCTTCTTTTCTCTCCCCCCCCCTCCCCTCCCCCTTCCGGCCCCAGGCCGGCAGGTTTTCCCCGCCCCCCCCCCCCCCCCGTTTGCTACCCCTCCGGGCCCCCAACAACAACTTTAGCTACCTAATATTTTTAAAAGAAGTTCATTGTTAAGCTACTTTGCGATTAAGTGGATTCCGGCCATATGCAAAACCAGCGATCTAAAAAAATATTATATATAGGTCAAGTGCAAACTGATACCACGCATGGGTATTTTTCGGAGCCGACAAAGAACCCCTCTGCTCTGTCGATGAAAGTGCTTTTCGTCGAGTGTAAGCGGGTAAGACTCAAGATGCCTGGAAGCAGTCAAAGTCAAACGTCACTTTAAACATACCTCTTTCAGAGCTACAACCAAACGTCATTACGGTCCCATTTCCCAATAGGCACAAAAGGGTCTGAGCCCAAGAAAAGTAAAACAAATCCACGATTTCGTGCTCGCTAGACAGATACAAACCATGATTTCTTCCCTACCTAGCCGTGTAAGAATCATTTTCTGCACACTTCACCCAGTCGCAGCCGTTCGTACCCCAATAGTATATGACGGTTCTGAAAGCGGTTTTTGCCCTTAGTACATCCAGTGTCAGACAGTTCCAGACAGACCAACCCCCAAGAAAAGATGATGTGGACGGCATCATCAGGGCGCAAGAAAACAGCCTTGGATTTTCGCTTGGGCAACCTGTGCGTTTCATGACCTATTATTGTTATCGGCAGATTATTGGGAAGCGGCCCAATCAGCATGTGGAGCTGAAAGTGGGCTCAGATCATTTGGGAGCGGGACCGAATACCTCGACTCGTGTCTGACTTCCTACTTGGTGAAAAAATAACACGCATGGGCCGTCTTCTATGACGTTGGTCCTGGAATGGAATTTTCAAAAATTGTTCCAAAGGCCTTCAGGCCTTTTTCGATGGAACTTACGTCCCCGCCGTCTGGGAAGCATATGGGTAAGCGGTCGGTATGCAGGCGTAATCCCCCGGTTCGTAGCTTACGGTATGGAGCTCGGGGAAATGCAGTTGATCAACTATCATACCGCCTAAGAAAGTACGCTAATACGAAGGTAAAGCTTCATTATAAAGCTTGCAGAGCTGAAACAAACCTCCTGGGAGCCTTCCGGTGCCCAGTTTTGCATATCGGAGGATCCCAGATTCTCCTTTCTTCTTGAGCAAAAACGAGCGATAATACTGGTTAAAATCCATTATTTGCTCAATTATGGTGGCTGCGTCTGGTTTTGCGGGCGGTTTGAACTGCTGCAGGTTCCCAACATGACTAAATGGACCATGCCATCGAAGGCTTTTGTCTATGACCAACCCTAGGAACTGTATGGCCGCGAGGTGTCCCGGGTTTATTATCTAAAGATTCAGGATTATTGCGTCATCGGAAGCTAAATCAGAGTTTTGAAACTTGAGTATCTCAGACTCAAGACCTCGACAAATCCTGCTAACAAGGAGTTTTTGAAAGTGGTCCGGAGACGAGAGACCTAGCTCATTCGGAGTCGGAGGAACGGGGCAAGATCCGTTTTCTTTTTTTGCGAACGATAGCGAATGATTTTGAATAGTTAAGTTAAAGAATTAGCAAAATTGGCAGGATCCCCTCGCGCGGAGCGATTTCCCTTCCAAGGATCGCCTCTGTCGGAAAGCCGGGCCCCGTCTTCCCTTCCTCATAGCGATTTGGCGCAGCCGGTACGGCGTTTGCCTCTCACGATGCTTTGGGACTTTTTGTCAATTCGACCCCTGAGCCCAGAATCTCTTTTGCTTTTTATTTGAGGAGGCTGAATTTATCATTTATTTGTTAATTTAATTATCGCAATGCGTTACATAAATGTTCTGAACAGCATCGGTGTAGGCGCAAGCGGACCAGTTTATTTCAATCCTCGAGACGCGAGTTCGCGCTACCGGTTTAGGGGATACCACAAAAAAAATTAATTTTGGACTAGATTCCATGTTTAGAACGTGTTCAGGAATTAAAAAGCAAAACGTGATCTAGGCTCGAGGCGTCCACCGGACAAAGTCCAAAAATTTCGTCAGAGGCAAACGCTGTTTCTGCTAATTTTAATGTATTTATTAAAAATCAATCCTCTATCGTTTCGCAGAAATGGAATATGGGATCTCGCTCAGTTTTTCGCTCTTCGAATGAGCTGGTCTCGTACGAAACTCCGTGCCCACCTAAAAACGTTCCTTGTAAGCACTTAAAGGACGCATATCAGGAGCTTTCACGCTCTAATTACGGGTGGTATGAACCTTTCCGATGGTCTGCGGCCACGGTTTGACTTCTTCATGGGCCACCGGCTTTTCTCGGTACATTTCCATCAAGTCGATTTGAGTAAGGCCTCCATTTACCCTGCCAATGGTCTAAAAAGAGCTGAAAAAGCTGCTGGGTTCCAAGTCTACCATCCAAGGATTTGTGGCACTATCCC